CCCTCTTCCCTCTACCCCCAGCAACTCACTAGCTACTAGGATTAGAGGACTTGTTTGCTGCGCCAGCCTCTCCTGGTGGGAGCCAAAAGCTGAAGTTAATTAGGAAAGGTGCTAAGCCTCTTTGGCATGAAAGAGGATGGGTGACAGGGATCTCTTTCCCTGGGCGCCCAAACAGACTTTTTACTGGGCATGAAGCTGCCAGGAGAGGGGAGTCAATACAACAGGAAATATAGGTTTCTGGAAGGCTGGCTCTCCGTGCTGGAAGTCAGGCTGAGCTGGGTTCTTTGACAATGTCACCAGCTTGCTTGGCATGTCCCTGAACCTGGCTCTACTTTTCTCACTCATGACATAATCCTGATGATTGACCTGCCGGGCTGGGCGGGCCTCCTTCTTTTACTGGGGCTTGGTGAAGGTGAGTGACTCGCACAGTCACTCCACGGTTACACAGCAGAGTCACTAGGACATGTTCAGGTGGCCACTCATCTCATCAACCAATGTTTATGGATCGAGGCAGCAGGTTTAAAGTGTTCAGATGCCACAGGTCGGTAGATCTGGGTTCAAGTTCTAGCCCTGGCATTTCCTGCAGTGTGACCTTGGAGATGAACCTGGTGATAGCTCTCCTCTGGGTGGATGAGGTGAGCATAGGCTTGGCAAAGGCCTGGCACACTGAAAACACTCAGTAAATGGATCTGTTAGGACTGATTCAAATGTGCTGCTTCAGGTCTGCCCACCGGCTGTTAATCCCAGAGTGACTGCCGCAGAGGGGAGGAAGGCAGAGAAGAGGATGATGAGGTTTTCTGTGCTCACCAGGCATTGGGGCTCTCGCCCTCGGGCTCTTTCCCACACAGGTCCTGAGCCTGCTAAAATTGAGTGTAACATTCATGCATTTTTCTAGCAGGAGGGCCCATAGGGTCATTATGGTCTTAAAGGGGTCAGTAACCATTATGGTCTTAAAGGGATCAATAACTCCCCTGGGAGGGCTATGATTCACTCACCTCAAGTCTAGGTTTGCTAAGCATCTATCACTCTGCCACGTGGACTTCCGTTTTTTTTTTTTAATTAAAAGAAATTTTTTTAAGTTGTCGGTGGACTTTTATTTTATTTATTTATATGTGGTGCTCAGAATCAAACCTAGTGCCTCACATGCTAGGCAAGTGCTCTGCCACTGAGCCATGACCCCAGCCCTGGACTACCATTTATTTATGTTTTTCTTTCTTCTTTCTTTTTAAAAATACTTTTTATTGGTACCTTACAGTTGTGCATAATGGTGGGATTTGTGGTTACGAATTTGTACATGTACACCACATAACAATGTAATTTCCCTGGTGCATTCTCGCTTTTCTCTAAACCAATTCACTTTTGGTATCTACACTAAATTCTTTTGAAGGAGGCTTTCTATCACTGTTTTAAAACCTGCATCATTTGTCACAAATGAAAAGTCATGGTAGAGAAAAATAAGATGAAAACAAAATCAATTTCAGTACTTTCTGAATTGCTCCAGGAGGAATTGAGAGGAGTTGAAGACATTTTGGGCCCTAGAGCGGGAAGTTTTCCTCTTTGTGGATTCTAAAGGATGGAAACAGACGTGAACAGATAATCACTTTCTCACTGGAGAGCCGACAGCACATAGTAGGTGCTAAATAAATATCTGCTCATGACTGAATGATGGAAGATGGGACTCAGAGTTTCTTGTACCATCTCTAGCTGTCATTTCAAGCTATCTTGTACACCATCCAAATCCATTGTGAACTTGACCTGCAGGTGAGGTGCATCCCTGGGAAACCATATGCTGGTCGTGGTCCCAAGTCCCCACTCTGGCACCCCCTGCCTGGCAACCTCTAATTTAGGCTTATTAAGCAGATCTAAAAAGAAGACACTTCTGGAAGGGCTTAGAGAGAGTGAAAGCTCTCTACCTACGTGAGGCATTTGCATTATTTTACCCTATTTATGATGGGTGGGGGGAGTAGGAGACGGAGGTTGGGGAGAAGGGACTTTTGAGTGGCTAAGGGTGATTTAGAGGGATTATGAAGTGTGAGATTCAAAGGCTAATGCTGGGCAGCACCTGCACAGGGAGAAGCAGTTATTGGCAGGACATGGTTCTAGCAGGTCACCCTTAAGGGGCCATCTCACAAATCTGAAGAGTAAACAGTGAGCAGTGAAGGTCACAACCCTGTTGAACCTCTGCTCTTTAGAAACATGGGGGCGTGTTTGTAGAATAGTAGGTCCCATTTATCAAACGCTTCCTCTGTGCCTGGCCCTGGGCTAAATGCTCAGCTTTTCTTGGCCTTCCTTTGACCCCTTCAGCAGGCCGAGATCCTGGGACAGCTCCATGTGACTGTGCCCTGCTCAGCTCTATGGTTGCCATCCACACCAACCTCTCCATGCTCCAACCTCCATGCTTGGGCCTGGACACCATGATTATTACACCCAGGAGAACAGAAACTCAGGTTACCGAGTCACAGAGCTAGTGGGTGACACAGAATTAGAATTGGAATCTCAGCAGCATCTAACAAAGGCTTTTAATCACCCTCAGTACAGTTCATAGGCAAACAATGTATATGTTTATGGATAGAAAGGTCTGGAAGGATATATGCTGGAACATCAGCACTGATTATCCTCAAGTGGGAGAATTATGGATGGATTTTCCTTTTCTGTGCTTTTTGGTGTTTTCCAAAATTGTCTCTGTAAACACAAACTACTTCTGTCATTGGGAAAATCCAGTGAATATTATTGAAAAGTTAAAAAAAAAAAAAAACCAACCAAAAGATTCTGTGGTTAACATCTTGTTAGGTGTCAGCCAACTTTCTTTGCCCTATTTCATTTTTTTTTAATTATTTTTTTAAATGACACAATCATAGAATTTGCAGGGAAATGGATGGCACTAGAGCAGATTATGCTAAGTGAAGCTAGCCAATTCCTAAAAAACAAATGCCAAATGTCTTCTTTGATATAAGGAGAGTAACTAAGAACAGAGTAGGGACGAAGAGCATGAGAAGAAGATTAACATTAAACAGAGATGAGAGGTGGGAGGGAAAGGGAGAGAAAAGGGAGAGAAAAGGGAAATTGCATGGAAATGGAAGGAGACCCTCAGGGTTATACAAAAGAACATACAAGAGGAAATGAGGGGAAAGGGAAAAATAATACAAGGGGGAGAAATGAAGGTCAGTAGAGGGGGTAGAGAGAGAAGAGGGGAGGGGAGGGGAGGGGAGGGGGGATAGTAGAGGATAGGAAAGGCAGCAGAACACGACAGTCACTAGTATGGCAATATGTAAATCAATGGATGGGTAATTGATGTGATTCTGCAATCTGTATATGGGCTAAAAATGGAAGTTCATAACCCACTTGAATCAAAGTGTGAAAGATGATATATCAAGAACTATGTAATGTTTTGAACAACCAACAATAAAAAAAATAAATAAATTATTCTTTTAATTTATATATGACAGTGGAATGCATTACAATTCATTTTACACATATAGAGCACAATTTTTCATACCTCTGGTTGTATAAAAGGCATATTCATACCAATTTGTGTCTTCATACTTGCATTTTGGATATTAATGTCCATCACATTCCACCATCATTTCTAACCCTATGCCCCCTCCCTTCCCCTCCCACCCTGCCCTTTCATTTAATCCCCACGGCTCTATGAGGAAGAAGGGATTTACCCTACCTTATAAATCAAGAGATGAACTCAGATGGACAGCAGCACGTGACCAAGGGCCCCACAGGTAAGAGAAAGAATGCTTTGAAATGAAACTTCTTATTGTTAAGCCCAGCAGACTTCCCTATTGGTTCCCAATGTGTGCCCTCTTCCCCTTTCTGCAGGAAGTAAGTGAGCTGATCTTTTTATTTTTTGCATATTCCGTTATTTACATATGCATCCATAGGCCTTCACTGAGTATGGGTTGAAAGAGTGAGCCAATGAACAGGTGTGGAGACTGCAGCGAGGCCTGGGGACCTGCAGCATCATTTATCTGGTCCAAGGAATGTCAATATTGGGCCGAGTGGTTTCTAAGATCCCTCCGGGTGCTGACATTCTGTGAATCCAGGATTATCAATTTTGAATTGACTTATTTCACAAGTTAGTGTCAGACAAGCCCATGCCCTCAGGGGAGCAGTGGGTGGTGAAACCATTCTGATCAACTTGTAAATGGAGAGGAACTTTTTTTTCCAAAGTGGTTCTTACTAGGAACATTTGGTTACACCTTCGGCCAAGCCATGAATCTTGAGCTGACAGAATTCGGCCCAATAAAAACTAGAAAATTTTTAAAGAGTTTCTAATTCTTTCAGCACTAGCTTTGTGAGAGGAAGTTCCTTTGGATTTGGAAATTCCCTTCGAGGGTTTTACATTTTCATTTATCATTTAACCCTGGAACATAAACTTGTCCAACAAATATAGTATCTTTGGGGTCAAGAAACCCATGTTGAATTTTAAAGTAAATGCTGAAAACAATGATAATCACCAAAGGCACCCTTTACAATAACTGGTTCCTAAACCAGTCATTAGGTAGTGTTTGTAAACATTCTCTAAAGCAACCCTTCCAGCAGTCCTGCTATTATGAATTTCATTTTAAGATAAGGAAACTGAGGCTTAAGAGGTCAATGAGATCACGTGCTCAGAAAAGGGTGGGCTGGGATTAAAGTCCAACCCTGAAGCCCAGGTTTCCTAATCATAAGAAAAAGATGCTTCCATTCATTTCAATAAATTCTAGGCAATTTCTCCCTGAACTGGGAACAATTTCTCTGCTGACTTGTCCAAGTGCTTTTTCTGAACCTAAAATGTGGCATTTATCATTTCCTACCTTGAATTATAGTTGCTGGGGTTTATGTCTCATCTTCTCTGATAAGACGGTGAAAGAGATAAGAGGAAAGAGAGGTTCTTCTCTCTGCTCAGGGCCTAGCATAGTTCCTGAACTAAGACAAGCACTCAACCAACAGGTGTTGTGTGAATAACAATAGTAATAAAAATAGTAAAATGGATATGAGCCCCGGGTTACCTGGGTCGAGGTTCTCAGATAAACAGCACCTAGGTGCGGATGCAGACCCTCTCAGCCAGTGCATCAGAATCTGCTTTTTAAAAAGACCTGGAGGTGAGAAGTATTGCCTTAGCCCACATTGCAACTTTATTTTTTAAAAATTGTTTTCCTGAATATCTTGGGATCCAGTGACCAGCAAAGACTGGGCTGAGAGCCACCTCCCCATGGGATGGACTCCCTTGCCCCCAGTCCTCCAGCAGCTCTTATAGTTAGTAGGATAAAGTTCAAACTGCTTAGGCTGGAATTTAAAACCCGTTCAACTTGGCTGCAATTAAGGGACTCTTGTGACACGTGCTCACTCTTCTGGCCCCTTTCGCTTGATTCATGCAGTCGCTGGTCAGAGCGGATGCCCTTTCCCTGTCCCTCCCCCCTTCCCCCTCTCCCTCTGTTCTGGGCCCTGCTGGAATCCTGCTTCTCATAACCACTTTCCTCTGGAGTGTGACAGCAGAAGGACGTAATGAACGTGCTGAGAAGGACTGCCACAGCGTGGGTGACACCTGAGCTCCCTGATTTCGTCCTCACAGTGGGCAGGAAGTCGGGGGTGGATTTTGTATTTCTCCATTTACAGATGTAGAAGTCGAGGTGCTGCCTGTTGGGCCCTCACCCAACATCACACAGCGATGACGAAGGGGTGGAATTAGGATTCAAACCTAGATCTGCCTGGCTCCAATCTGGGCAGTTCCCTTAATACGCAGGAATTTCCCCTGAACTCTGAGTGTATTTCTGGGGTAGCGGAAGAATCACTTTGTTTACTTATGTCTTTTGTGGTTGTGTCTTTATATATTTTTTATTTGGCCATCAAACCTCAAATGTGCATCTAGAAGATAGGAACTCTGTGTCTCTCTGCCCTTCTGGTTCTTTTAAGCTGGCAATTTTTACTGGTCAACCCATTAAGTTCCAAGTTTTCAATTCTGTGACCATAACAACCATCACTTGCAAATTACTGTAAATGATGCATTTATTGCTCAATTTAAGTTTTGATAGGTGTTCCACATCTGGGATAATGGAACAAAAGGTGCTAGCCAGATAAATTTAGCTCCATACATTTCCAGGGATCCACAGGCCCACTGAATGCCATCCATGTATACTCAAGAAGCACTCGTTCCCCTGAGTGAGAACCTCAGCTACTGTCCCCCCAGAGTTCTATTGTAATAGCTACTGAACTTTATTTATTTATGGGAGTATCATTTTCCTTGCTTGTACACTCACGGAAGCCAAGTCAGTCTTTCTTATTTTGTTTTTCCTAGCACTCAACACAAAGTCTGATTTTTGCAAATGTGTAAAAATATTTGCTGAGCCTGTAACTCCTCTTCACAGGTGCCTAGCTCAGCAGCAGGTTCATGGAAGGTGCAGACTCAATGGTTGTTGATTGGTTTCCCTGCTTGTATTTTGCTTTCTTTCTTTTCTTTACTTATCCAAATGGTAACCACATGCCACCATCCAGCTCAGTTCTGATCTCTTTGAAAAACTTCCCTGACTGCTCTTAGCCTCTTGTTTTGTAATTTACCACCAGCATCCATAGTACATGGGTTAATATAGAACTTCATTGTTAGAGGATGTGCCTCTTTTCTCTTTAGACAGTGTGAATGCTCCTTAAAGACAGATCTAGGTTTTATACTTCCAGCATAGGGCTGGGCATACAGTCAGTGACCATTGATTACCCGCTGATTAATAGATGGGTCCATTCCAACTTCCTGTGGGGGAGCTACCTCCTGGCAGAGGCCCATAGCGGGGAGCAGATGGGATAGAATGGTTTCTGCAGCACCCATGGGGCCATCTTTGGTGCCAAATGAAGGTTCCATATTTTGATCTCATGGGAAATAGCAATTTCCCCATAAAATGCTTTTAGAAACTGAACATTGGTGAGACTTATGGGAAGGAAGCCATAAAATTTTATAAGGAGCATAAAAAGAAGACATGCATAAACGGAGAGACATAGTTTGCTTCTGTAAAGGAAGTCTGTATCCAAGATAACTTCAGTTCTCTCCTCATTCCACTGGAAGTTCAAAATGATCTCCTTGAAACCCCAACAAGAAGGGAGAGAAGATAAATGATCCAGAATCAAACATATAGAAATATGGAATATAGCAGAATAGACATGAGAAAAATATCTGGGTAAATGGAAATGAAGAGGAATAGTGGGGAAGGATGTGGGAGAAATGGGTAATTTCACCCTTTCCATAAAATCATAGCAATTAAAAATACTTTGGGCAGAAAGTGGAGGAAAAGACAGAACTATCAATAAAATTTTATAGTTTAGAAAGAGACTGAAATAACCACAAGAACTTTATATGCCATTTCAATGCTTGTGGGAAAAAATAGGTTATTCTATAAATGATGTTGAGGCAACAGGATAGCCATTTATAAAGAAATAAGGCTGGATCTTTACTTTATTTCTTACACAAAAATAAACTTGGACTGACCCAAGATTTTAAATATAGAAAAACCATTAAACTATCAGAAGAGGGTATAGGAATATATTTTTATAATTTTGAAACAGGAAAGACCTTTTAAGGTATAAATTTGTCTGGGACTTTTTTTTTTATAAGGCTTCAGACTTCAAAAACAATGTTAAAAGAAGAATTGAAAGAAGTATTTGTATCTCAAATAACAAAAAAAGCTCTCTTTGCAATCAGTGAGAGAAAAACAACTCTATAAAACTAAATGAATCACATGGATAAGCAAATAACAAGGTAAGTATAGTGCATAATGAATTAATGCAAAAAATAAAATTCCTTTACAAAGTAAATAATGCAAATAAGAAGCAGCTACATGTTTTAGATCTATTAGTGTAGAAGATACTTTAAAAAGTGCTAGGCTCAATTAGGCAAGGGTAGGGAAAAAACCAACATTTTCATACATTCTCAGTGGGGGTAAAAATTGGGGATAGGAAATCTGCATTATCTGATAAAATTATCTCTTTTTTTTCATCATCTGATAAAATTTAACTGAATATTTTTAAACATTCAGTACTAGGGATCAAACCTAGGGCCTTGCGCATGCTAGGTAAGCATTCTAAAACTGAGCTGCATACCCAGCCTTTGATCATGGATTTTGATCTAAGTCCAACATTCAGGAATTTACCCTCCAGAAGTACTCCCCAGAGGGAGCCAAAGTGAAAGTATAAGGAAATGCAGCAGACAGTTCCCCCAAACTGGGAAATAACCTAAATTTCCAACAATAGGGGATTGTAAAGGAAATCATGTAGCAGTCACATAAAAAAACCACACATCTACTAAAACGGTAAACTAAGTCTATGATGTAATGTTGTACATAACAGAAACTTCAGGGAGTTATGTCTAATACAATCTAATTTTTTATATAAAAAACTGTGTGTGTGTATATGTGTGTATTCACAGAAAAAAAATCTGGGTGAATATGTACTAAATCATAATTGGGGCTACCTCTAAAAGATGGATCATGTGAAGATTTTCACTTTGTATTTAGAATTTTTTTTTTTTTTTTTTTTTTTTGCAATAAACAACAATTGAAAATATAGGAAGAAGAGGAGTCAATGCAGGGCTGGAATCTGGCATTTAGGCCTGGTCTTGTCCTCCCTCTGGGCCCCAGTCTATGTACACAAAAGGGGGCTTGCATTGCTATCAGGGCCTCCTCCCTCCTGCTCTCACCCTGTGGCGGTGGAATAGAAGTTGGGGGAGAAGGTTCAAGTACACTTCCAGACAGCTCCTTTGAGCCCAGAACACACAGGCCACACTGTGCTGGATCCTTCCTTCCAATGTGGCAGGTGAACCTGCCAGTGGGCTGAGGGACCCAGGAGACTGGGATGAAAGGTTCCATGAGAGAACAGGGACAATGACTGGCCTTGGGGAGCCAGAAGGTAAGACGGTGCGCTTGGGCCACTGGGACCATCAGCCTCCACACTTGCCTTTCATCCCTTCTCCCAGAAGCTGCTTGCTGCTTTCATGATGTCCTCTTTCTGACTCATCTCTTTGTTCTGGCCTTGGCTGGTGGAGATCAAAACTTTTCCTGTATCCAAATTGGTCTGCCAAGAGTAGGTTGGCCTGGGACCCGTGTATGGCTCTGCATCTCCTTTCTACCTGCCTGGCCCTCTCTTTCCTGACAAATACCCTTAGGGGACCATGCTGTCCTTCTCATATGCAGCCCTCAGTTCTTCTGAACCACAGTGAGTAAAGCCAGTCCACCATCTCCACGGGTGGGGCTTGTCTCTAGAGCTTTCTCTTGCCTTGCTGTATCCCAAGAGCCAAGTACGTTGCCTGTCATCATGACTGTCGTCTAATAAGCAGATTAATTTTTGCTGCCGAATGGGTGTTGTGGTACAAATTCTAGCAAAATGGGTTTTGCGGTACAAATTCTAGCAAAATGGGTTTTGCATCCTGCTCCTCAGTCTAGATCTACAGGCGTGTCATGAAATGACTCTGGGTACCAAGTTACAGTTCAGGAAGCTGTGGTGTGCTATTGCACAGCATGATGATGCACTGTGCATTTCAAAAAGCTAGAAGAAAGGATTTTGAAGATTTTCACCATAAAGAAATGATAGATGTGTGAGGAGATAGATGTGTTCACCCTGATTTCAACATTACACAATATATACACATATTAAAAGATCACATGTGTAATTTTTATGATTTTGTGACTCAATTAAAAAATAAAGTTAAAATTTAAAAAACAAAATGACCCTGAAATTCTTGCCCTCTCTCAGAGCTTGAAGGCTGTGCACAGCCAGGAAACTTTCCAGATAGAGACACCTGGAAAATATTTCATTGCTCAACTCACAGATGTCCTATAGGACACAGAGCTGAGGTGGGCTTGCTGTGGCCGCAGAATGTTTTCCGAGAATTCCAATGAAAGAAGGTCTGAATACGTTCAATATTACTGCCTGTGTTGTTTACATGTGTCACCCAGATATCAGGCCTTTGCACCCCTTGCAAATTAGGTGATGTGATCTCCTGTGTTCCTTTTCCATAACCTGGAAGTTTGAAGCTCTCCCTGGGAGGGACTAGATTCCTGGAGTGGATGAGGGTGTCCCACTTCAATCTGGCCCCTCCTGCTTCTGGGACTCCATACCC